ATACGATTAAAGCGTGTTTTTTAAAAGGTAATGAGATAAGCATTCTTGTTAGGGTTTTTCCTTCAAAATCTCAAAATCCAGCTGTGTTCCATGCGAGACCATTTCGTGCCCATTTATACAATGCGGGATCACGCCCCCAGGGCATATCTCCTAGTGGCAAAGGCGAAGGCGGATAGGGCTCAGCGCGGCAATGTGCAAAGTTCGATTCCCCACAAGGTGGAATTGACTTTGTTGCAAGCGGGAGTTACCATATGAGTTAACAGCCTTGACCTATCCATGTGCTCTCCACCCTAGCTCCTGAAAGGCACATCCTGCGATTTACCTCCTCCACGATGGCCCAGAACAGGGTCGGTGGGAGGCCCTTAAGGTTAGGGTTCAACCTTTTTTTTATACAATGCGGGATCACACCATTGACCGACTTCGATCTTATCAGCTACAATACCTTCCTAAAGATGTGTGCCATTTATCCTAGTTGGATGTGTTGATTGGTTGTGAAGGTCTGCATATTGTCAAATTCTGCTAACTGTCTGGCAATGACAAGCTGACATCATATAATCATTGTTCATCGTTGATTTGTTAAAATGGGAGGTGCTAACATTTAGAGCACCCAGGCGTCATTGCTTGATTGGTTGGTAGAGATACGTCGGTATAGCATGGATTTAATCAAAACTATGTTTCCATTAATTATGGCGACCTTGATCTAATCTCAAGATATCTGGTGTCCGAACGTATCGGATGTCAACATCAATGAATAAAAAATAAAAAGGGGAGCATTTGGGCACAACGAAAACATAATGTATTGAAAACTCATAATATGTAAAATAATGTATGAAATTGGGGCTGACGGAGTGTGTGGAAAGTGATTTTTCTGGAACTAAAAAGCGTTATGAAGTCTACAACATATTGAAATTCTAGCGTAATTTTACCATGAATTTCGACCTAAAGAATGATTTTCACTTTTCTATTAATCAGATCTCCAACATTTATTAAAATTCTAACAAATTTTTATCAGGCAAGCACATAGCTCCTACCAAGATTGTTTTCCTTTTTTCTTTAATTTTTTTCCCCTACACGACCAAAAGTAAACATTCTTTAACCCTCCAAATTGTCAAGTGCTCATTATTACCTCAAAACGAAATACCATTATTGGAGTAGCATGTGGCCCAAACCTTTAATAAAGTAGAAAATGAACATTCTATCCATCTAAAAATTTGTTCAAAAGAAAAATGACATCATAGAGCCAGTGAGTGACACAGCAGAAAATGAACATTCTCTATCCCATCTAAAAATTTGTTCAAAAGAAAAATGACATAAAGGAGCTAGCGAGTGACACTACATCTTTCCAGCCCAATATTACCCCTCTCATCTCTCCCCCACCTTTGCCTCTTTCCGTCCAGCGCCCTCCCTGCACCACCCATGAACTGAGCTAGGAAGGCAGTAGCTGAGTCAGTCCGACTTCTTATAGACTTTTGATGTAGTCTTCTAAACGATCTCTAGGCTTTGTCCCCTAACATTAAGGGAAAAACTCCGCATATGATGGCATCGTTGGCTCTTATAGCTCCATCCATTACATCCATCCATGAGATGTAATGGCTGAGGAGATCTCCTTTCCCATTATACCCGATGAGTTGTGGCATTTTCAACTTCTTAAGTAATGGTTCGGTCGGTATGTCTTCTGTGAATGGAGAATGGCAATTAGTGAGGTATTCTTCAACGATGCTTTTATGCTTTGCTTCCACACTGGTAATACGCTTTCTTAAGATGCTCATTTCTGGTTCATATTTTTTGGTAGGGTCGATTATTTTGAGTAGGCTGAGTTTGCTTACCTTTAGGTGTTAACGAACATTGAGTACCCAACCTATCAAACACACTCCTAGCCCTCTTTGTCAAACGGAATTGAAATCTTGATATAACTAACCCCAAAGACAAAACCCTCTTGAAATCTTTCATACGAAGAGTATACGCATCAAAGAGGTATGTCAAGGCTGTGCAGAACTCCAACTTCATCATTCAACAACTTCTTATAAGAATTTACAGGCTCACAAAACCCTTCCACAGGTAATAAAGTATATTTAGCCAGTCAGCATACCAAATCTAAATAGTCATTCGCCCATCTCTTAGCATTAAAAGGTCACCAGGACCCAGAATCACAAGATGTAGCCAGAGCAAATCTTCAATACGTATTCTAATGCCCTGAATTGCTATCGTGTTAAATGACCTAAAACATGGAGATGGACTTCAGAACTTGGCAGTTAAGAACCTTTTCTAAGGATCTTAAAGGACAAAAGCCCACACATAACCCTCTAATCAACAAATCTGTAATGGTATACTCAGAAAGTTACGGTATATGTGGCATTATTCTACAACATTTTGAGACAATTTTGGAATACAGGAGACAATTTGTAAAATCTAAATAACACTTCACCTTACGCACACCCCCTCCCTCCAAACTTCTATCAATTCTCACAGTCGAGGAGCTTTCATCATCTCAAGTCAGGCGGATAGGGCTCAGCGCGGCAATGTGCAAAGTTCGATTCCCCACAAGGTGGAATTGACTTTGTTGCAAGCGGGAGTTACCATATGGGTTAACAGCCTTGACCTATCCATGTGCTCTCCACCCTAGCTCCTGAAAGGCACATCCTGCGATTTACCTCCTCCACGATGGCCCAGAACAGGGTCGGTGGGAGGCCCTTAAGGTTAGGGTTCAACCTTTTTTTTATACAATGCGGGATCACACCATTGACCGACTTCGATCTTATCAGCTACAATACCTTCCTAAAGATGTGTGCCATTTATCCTAGTTGGATGTGTTGATTGGTGTCAATCTCCTGTCTGTAAGAATTAAAATGCAAACTCATGTATCCAAACAAAATTAACATCAATAAGGATCCGAAAGGCAAAAACGCTTCAAACGATGTTCTAGAAAATTCAATTGTTCCCTTAATGATTTAAAATACCAATAGAAGTACACTTTAACATAAGATCCAAATCTGAATCCTGAAATACCCTCAAGCAGAAGCAGCTGTTCCCTTTTTCCTAGGTGCAGCTTGAGTGCCTAAACCAACCGAGATTTAATCAAAACTATGTTTCCATTAATTATGGCGACCTTGATCTAATCTCAAGATATCTGGTGTCCGAACGTATCGGATGTCAACATCAATGAATAAAAAATAAAAAGGGGAGCATTTGGGCACAACGAAAACATAATGTATTGAAAACTCATAATATGTAAAATAATGTATGAAATTGGGGCTGACGGGGCGTGTGGAAAGTGATTTTTCTGGAACTAAAAAGCGTTAATGAAGTCTACAACCTATTGAAATTCTAGCGTAATTTTACCATGAATTTCGACCTAAAGAATGATTTTCACTTTTCTATTAATCAGATCTCCAACATTTATTAAAATTCTAACAAATTTTTATCAGGCAAGCACATAGCTCCTACCAAGATTGTTTTCCTTTTTTCTTTAATTTTTTTCCCCTACACGACCAAAAGTAAACATTCTTTAACCCTCCAAATTGTCAAGTGCTCATTATTACCTCAAAACGAAATACCATTATTGGAGTAGCATGTGGTCTAAACCTTTAATAAAGTAGAAAATGAACATTCTCTATCCCATCTAAAAATTTGTTCAAAAGAAAAATGACATCATAGAGCCAGTGAGTGACACAGCAGAAAATGAACATTCTCTATCCCATCTAAAAATTTGTTCAAAAGAAAAATGACATAAAGGAGCTAGCGAGTGACACTACATCTTTCCAGCCCAATATTACCCCTCTCATCTCTCCCCCACCTTTGCCTCTTTCCGTCCAGCGCCCTCCCTGCACCACTCCCAGGTCACCTCTTGCCTGTCACTAGTCCACTTCATTTACGTGGTAGTAACACAAGTTGCACATAAAACTATTATCCACTTCGGTTAAATAGAGAGCAACACGACGAGCACATAAGTAGCTCAACTATTGTCCCATTGGCCCCTCACTAAAACTAGGAAATAAAATGAAAAAAATTGCACACGAGTTTATGTCCCAGAATATGTAGGCATAACAACTATTGGTCAACATAAGTTATTTCCCTCAGCTTGCAAGAAGATGGAATTTTTTAGTTTTATTTTTTCTAAGAAACTACTCAGCAGAAAGCAGGTCACATGGAATTGATGCAGACTCTTCATATGAAAGATTTCATGGGGTTTTATGTGGTTGAGGGTTAGAGATCTCCGTCATTTCATGAGAGCAAAAAGATGAGTCAAACGGAATTGAAATCTTGATATAACTAACCCCAAAGACAAAACCCTCTTGAAATCTTTCATACGAAGAGTATATGCATCAAAGAGGTATGTCAAGGCTGTGCAGAACTCCAACTTCATCATTCAACAACAACTTATAAGAATTTACAGGCTCACAAAACCCTTCCACAGGTAATAAAGTATATTTAGCCAGTCAGCATACCAAATCTAAATAGTCATTCGCCCATCTCTTAGCATTAAAAGGTCACCAGGACCCAGAATCACAAGATGTAGCCAGAGCAAATCTTCAATACGTATTCTAATGCCCTGAATTGCTATCGTGTTAAATGACCTAAAACATGGAGATGGACTTCAGAACTTGGCAGTTAAGAACCTTTTCTAAGGATCTTAAAGGACAAAAGCCCACACATAACCCTCTAATCAACAAATCTGTAATGGTATACTCAGAAAGTTACGGTATATGTGGTATTATTCTACAACATTTTGAGACAATTTTGGAATACAGGAGACAATTTGTAAAATCTAAATAACACTTCACCTTACGCACACCCCCTCCCTCCAAACTTCTATCAATTCTCACAGTCGAGGAGCTTTCATCATCTCAAGTCTACAGAAGTACAATCAGCACAAACAAGACAACTATTATCATTATCGCAAAATAATGACCCACAGGAAATGCATACATAAAAGTTCAGAGTTAAACATGCAAGCAAGGTACTTCTTCAAATATAATGAACCATAGAAAAAACAGAAATAAAGGCAAAAACGCTTCAAACGATGTTCTAGAAAATTCAATTGTTCCCTTAATGATTTAAAATACCAATAGAAGTACACTTTAACATAAGATCCAAATCTGAATCCTGAAATACCCTCAAGCAGAAGCAGCTGTTCCCTTTTTCCTAGGTGCAGCTTGAGTGCCTAAACCAACCATCACAATTTCAAATTAATTACCAGACACAAAATTACGGAACTTCAAAAATCAAAGCGCAAACTACCAAGCTTATACCTTCTCTGAAGTTGGTCTTGAATCTGCGCGGCACGTGGCGGAGATACCTCATGCGTCCAGTTCCAGTAGTCTTTCTCCTTATGGCCTTCACACTCCAGTTGTCTGAAATATCGTATCATACAAAAAATAAATCAACAAAAAAGTTTAAAATTTAAAAACAGATTGATATATGCGAATTTGAGAATTGTAAAATGAAACACGTACATGTCCTCTTGCGGGCAGCAGGATAGGCACAGGCAGAGCAGCGGCTCTTCTGGATGTGGAAGCTTCGCCGGCCGCACCTCACACACAGCGTGTGTGTCTTGTTTCTCCTCTTGCCAAAGCTCCCTGTTCCCTTCCCCTACACACATACAAATGCAAGCATTCAGGCCAAATGAACATAGACGAGATCAGGATTATAATCTGGACATACATATAGATATAGAAAGAGAATAATTGGTTACCATGGCTGCAAAGTTGCAAAAACCCTAGTTTCGGCCGCTGAGCTTCGAAATGAGAAAAATGCGTTTGGTGTCGTAAGAGTCTAAACCTTTAATAAAGTAGAAAATGAACATTCTCTATCCCATCTAAAAATTTGTTCAAAAGAAAAATGACATCATAGAGCCAGTGAGTGACACAGCAGAAAATGAACATTCTCTATCCCATCTAAAAATTTGTTCAAAAGAAAAATGACATAAAGGAGCTAGCGAGTGACACACTACATCTTTCCAGCCCAATATTACCCCTCTCATCTCTCCCCCACCTTTGCCTCTTTCCGTCCAGCGCCCTCCCTGCACCATTGACTATATATATGAAGAGAAAAATGGCAGTGTTGTATATGGGCTTTAGGGTTGGGCTTGCCCCATAGGCTCTGTCCAGTCAAGAACCCAGAGGGTAATATTCTGTAAATCCCCGATGGCCTAGCCCAGTCTGACAGAACCCAGATCCAGTATATGCCCCAAATTACACTGGACGACCCGACCCAGCCCACTTTACAGACACTACATCTTTCCAGCCCAATATTACCCCTCTCATCTCTCCCCCACCTTTGCCTCTTTCCGTCCAGCGCCCTCCCTGCACCACTCCCAGGTCACCTCTTGCCTGTCACTAGTCCACTTCATTTACGTGGTAGTAACACAAGTTGCACATAAAACTATTATCCACTTCGGTTAAATAGAGAGCAACACGACGAGCACATAAGTAGCTCAACTATTGTCCCATTGGCCCCTCACTAAAACTAGGAAATAAAATGAAAAAAATTGCACACGAGTTTATGTCCCAGAATATGTAGGCATAACAACTATTGGTCAACATAAGTTATTTCCCTCAGCTTGCAAGAAGATGGAATTTTTTAGTTTTATTTTTTCTAAGAAACTACTCAGCAGAAAGCAGGTCACATGGAATTGATGCAGACTCTTCATATGAAAGATTTCATGGGGTTTTATGTGGTTGAGGGTTAGAGATCTCCGTCATTTCATGAGAGCAAAAAGATGAGTCAAACGGAATTGAAATCTTGATATAACTAACCCCAAAGACAGAAAACCCTCTTGAAATCTTTCATACGAAGAGTATATGCATCAAAGAGGTATGTCAAGGCTGTGCAGAACTCCAACTTCATCATTCAACAACAACTTATAAGAATTTACAGGCTCACAAAACCCTTCCACAGGTAATAAAGTATATTTAGCTAGTCAGCATACCAAATCTAAATAGTCATTCGCCCATCTCTTAGCATTAAAAGGTCACCAGGACCCAGAATCACAAGATGTAGCCAGAGCAAATCTTCAATACGTATTCTAATGCCCTGAATTGCTATCATGTTAAATGACCTAAAACATGGAGATGGACTTCAGAACTTGGCAGTTAAGAACCTTTTCTAAGGATCTTAAAGGACAAAAGCCCACACATAACCCTCTAATCAACAAATCTGTAATGGTATACTCAGAAAGTTACGGTATATGTGGTATTATTCTACAACATTTTGAGACAATTTTGGAATACAGGAGACAATTTGTAAAATCTAAATAACACTTCACCTTACGCACACCCCCTCCCTCCAAACTTCTATCAATTCTCACAGTCGAGGAGCTTTCATCATCTCAAGTCTACAGAAGTACAATCAGCACAAACAAGACAACTATTATCATTATCGCAAAATAATGACCCACAGGAAATGCATACATAAAAGTTCAGAGTTAAACATGCAAGCAAGGTACTTCTTCAAATATAATGAACCATAGAAAAAACAGAAAAAGATAGTCCAGATTACTCAATAATAATTTCAGAGAAACAGGCACCTGTCGGCCTCTAAAATGTTAGCTATGATTAGTATGTCAAGACATGAACTTACGCATAAGAGTAAATAAGATTAGCGCACAATTAAAAATAAGCATTCCAACTTACGTCAATCTCCTGTCTGTAAGAATTAAAATGCAAACTCATGTATCCAAACAAAATTAACATCAATAAGGATCCGAAAGGCAAAAACGCTTCAAATGATGTTCTAGAAAATTCAATTGTTCCCTTAATGATTTAAAATACCAATAGAAGTACACTTTAACATAAGATCCAAATCTGAATCCTGAAATACCCTCAAGCAGAAGCAGCTGTTCCCTTTTTCCTAGGTGCAGCTTGAGTGCCTAAACCAACCATCACAATTTCAAATTAATTACCAGACACAAAATTACGGAACTTCAAAAATCAAAGCGCAAACTACCAAGCTTATACCTTCTCTGAAGTTGGTCTTGAATCTGCGCGGCACGTGGCGGAGATACCTCATGCGTCCAGTTCCAGTAGTCTTTCTCCTTATGGCCTTCACACTCCAGTTGTCTGAAATATCGTATCATACAAAAAATAAATCAACAAAAAAGTTTAAAATTTAAAAACAGATTGATATATGCGAATTTGAGAATTGTAAAATGAAACACGTACATGTCCTCTTGCGGGCAGCAGGATAGGCACAGGCAGAGCAGCGGCTCTTCTGGATGTGGAAGCTTCGCCGGCCGCACCTCACACACAGCGTGTGTGTCTTGTTTCTCCTCTTGCCAAAGCTCCCTGTTCCCTTCCCCTACACACATACAAATGCAAGCATTCAGGCCAAATGAACATAGACGAGATCAGGATTATAATCTGGACATACATATAGATATAGAAAGAGAATAATTGGTTACCATGGCTGCAAAGTTGCAAAAACCCTAGTTTCGGCCGCTGAGCTTCGAAATGAGAAAAATGCGTTTGGTGTCGTAAGAGTGACTATATATATGAAGAGAAAAATGGCAGTGTTGTATATGGGCTTTAGGGTTGGGCTTGCCCATTATTATTCTACAACATTTTGAGACAATTTTGGAATACAGGAGACAATTTGTAAAATCTAAATAACACTTCACCTTACGCACACCCCCTCCCTCCAAACTTCTATCAATTCTCACAGTCGAGGAGCTTTCATCATCTCAAGTCTACAGAAGTACAATCAGCACAAACAAGACAACTATTATCATTATCGCAAAATAATGACCCACAGGAAATGCATACATAAAAGTTCAGAGTTAAACATGCAAGCAAGGTACTTCTTCAAATATAATGAACCATAGAAAAAACAGAAAAAGATAGTCCAGATTACTCAATAATAATTTCAGAGAAACAGGCACCTGTCGGCCTCTAAAATGTTAGCTATGATTAGTATGTCAAGACATGAACTTACGCATAAGAGTAAATAAGATTAGCGCACAATTAAAAATAAGCATTCCAACTTACGTCAATCTCCTGTCTGTAAGAATTAAAATGCAAACTCATGTATCCAAACAAAATTAACATCAATAAGGATCCGAAAGGCAAAAACGCTTCAAATGATGTTCTAGAAAATTCAATTGTTCCCTTAATGATTTAAAATACCAATAGAAGTACACTTTAACATAAAATCCAAATCTGAATCCTGAAATACCCTCAAGCAGAAGCAGCTGTTCCCTTTTTCCTAGGTGCAGCTTGAGTGCCTAAACCAACCATCACAATTTCAAATTAATTACCAGACACAAAATTACGGAACTTCAAAAATCAAAGCGCAAACTACCAAGCTTATACCTTCTCTGAAGTTGGTCTTGAATCTGCGCGGCACGTGGCGGAGATACCTCATGCGTCCAGTTCCAGTAGTCTTTCTCCTTATGGCCTTCACACTCCAGTTGTCTGAAATATCGTATCATACAAAAAATAAATCAACAAAAAAGTTTAAAATTTAAAAACAGATTGATATATGCGAATTTGAGAATTGTAAAATGAAACACGTACATGTCCTCTTGCGGGCAGCAGGATAGGCACAGGCAGAGCAGCGGCTCTTCTGGATGTGGAAGCTTCGCCGGCCACACCTCACACACAGCGTGTGTGTCTTGTTTCTCCTCTTGCCAAAGCTCCCTGTTCCCTTCCCCTACACACATACAAATGCAAGCATTCAGGCCAAATGAACATAGACGAGATCAGGATTATAATCTGGACATACATATAGATATAGAAAGAGAATAATTGGTTACCATGGCTGCAAAGTTGCAAAAACCCTAGTTTCGGCCGCTGAGCTTCGAAATGAGAAAAATGCGTTTGGTGTCGTAAGAGTGACTATATATATGAAGAGAAAAATGGCAGTGTTGTATATGGGCTTTAGGGTTGGGCTTGCCCCATAGGCTCTGTCCAGTCAAGAACCCAGAGGGTAATATTCTGTAAATCCCCGATGGCCTAGCCCAGTCTGACAGAACCCAGATCCAGTATATGCCCCAAATTACACTGGACGACCCGACCCAGCCCACTTTACAGTTTCCCTCGAAGCGCGGGAAAATTTCCCCAGCCCTTGCGAAACAGAAATTGATTGCATAAATTATCAATTTTCTCCTCACAATTAACAGGCAATCAATTTGGTAGTAAGAGAAAAATGGAAGAGGATTGTCAAATTGAATTTCCAGCATTTCCGTATAAACCCTACCCAATTCAGATGGATTTCATGAAGTTCCTGTACAAATCGCTCGATAAAGGAGGCATTTCAATGCTCGAAAGCCCCACCGGTAAGTAAAATGAGTGCACCCGAACTACCTATGGTTTAATTTTATTTTTCTGAATGTCGTGTAATTGAATATGTTATGTTGTTCCAGGAACAGGGAAAACCCTGAGTATAATCTGCAGTGCACTGCAGTGGCTAGTAGATAAGAAGCGTCAGGAAAGTATAAAAGGTGCGCTTGGTTTGAATCTGCAGGAAAATTTGGGAAATAAGTCATGTTTGGATAATGATATTGATAATGAACCAGATTGGATGAGAAATTTTGTGCCAAATAAAGAATCTGATACGCATGAAAAGAAGAAACCTAAAGGAAAGAAAAAATCTGGGGTTCGGTCAAAGGATACTTTTAGTAAAAAGGAAAAAGAAGAAACTACTAGGGATTTAAGTAATAGCGGTGAAGAAAAAGGGCTAGAGGGGAATGTGAATAAAAGGGAAGGAAAAAATGTGAAAGGGAATGTTGGGATTGATGAGGGGGATGAAGAGTTTTTGCTTGAAGAGTATGAGAGTGGAGAGGAAAGTGATGGAACACTGAAGAGGAGAAATTCTGGAGCTGATGTTTGTTTGTCTAGTGATGAGGAAGAAGAAGATGGGTTGGGGGACGAGGAAGATGGAGCAAGATTGAAGATTTACTTCTGTAGCCGGACGCATTCACAACTTTCACAGTTCATAAAAGAGTTAAGGAAGACTACATTTTCTAGCGAGTTGATGGTTGTCTGCTTGGGGTCTAGGAAAAACTTCTGCATCAATGAAGGTATTAGAATGAAATCCACGTGTTTTTGTGGTGGAACGTACATTCATACAGTACTTGTCTAACTTTATTGTGATTACATGTATCTTCATCAGAGGTGCTGAAGCTAGGGACCTCCACCCTCATAAATGAAAGGTGCTTGGAGCTTCAAAAGAATAAGAAAAATGAAGCTTCTAAAACGATGGTATGAATAATTTTGTTCTTGAAGCATTCTCTGGTGCATTGATGATTGGATTTTGGTTTCATATTGTCAAAGCCTTTCTTTTCATTCATGAATTTGGTCTACCTCCCTCTTTTTACAGTAAAAACCTACTAAGTTTCTTCACTTTCTTTATATTTTTTAGAACCTCTTATATTACATAATTAACATGCTATCGTGCTTGAACTAAAGCGAAGGCATTAAAATGCGCTGCATAAATCAATTGAAGTGAAATTGAGTTATTTTCTGTTGGATATTGTTTGCATTCCATGTGGATATTACATTTTGGACAGCATATATTTGAAATCTTCTCATATTTGACCAAGATACTTTCATCCTACCTAAATTCTATTATTTAACTTAATCATCTGCCAAATGGTTACCTTCACTTGCAATTTGGTAACGGGATCTCATTTGTGTTGCTTTCTTCCCATTTGTCTATATTGTCAATATCTGCTTCGAAATTTTTTCAATCTAAATAAAAATGATTTTTTTACTTTTTGAAGTAGAACAACTTGAAATATACACCACTTGTAACTCCTTAACTCAAACTAACACTTATTTTTTTAGAACTTTTTCAAGTGCTAACCATTCAAATGCTGTAAAATATTCTTATGTTTCTCTGAAGTCATGGTTCTAATTAGCAGAACTTGGGAGCTGGAAAAAGAGTTCACCGCACAAAGGCTTCCTGTGGATGTCCAATGCTCAGAAGTCGTAAGGTAGAAAAAGAGTTTAAGAATGAAATTATTCAACTGGAACCACTGGACATTGAAGATCTTGTTCGTATTGGACGCAACTTGGGAACTTGCCCATATTATGGTTCAAGAAGGATGGTGCCCACAGCTGATCTTGTCATTCTTCCCTATCAATCTCTTCTTTCAAAATCATCACGTGAATCTCTTGGTTTAAGTTTGAAAAATAGTGTCATTATCATAGATGAAGCTCATAATCTAGCTGATACTCTGATCAGCATGTATGATGCAAAAATTACTCTGTCCCAGGTAAATAATAGTTTCACATCTGTTGTCTATTATAACACCTTCTTCAAATTCAGTTGTGCTATGTGCTTTTAGATGATTATTTAAGAACCCATATTCAAAAAGTTAGTCTATAGACCAGAGATATGAGCATCTTCAATCCACCTTCCTGTTTGACGTTCTAAATTTCTTTCATGAGGTTCAGTCCTGGTATAGTTTCTAACAGTTACTTGGACCTCTGTTCAGCTGAATCTCTTGCAGTCTCACTTAGGGGGATACTTTCAGCGATTTCGCAATCTCTTAGGACCAGGCAACCGAAGATACATTCAGACTCTGATGGTCCTCACCCAGGCTTTCTTAAGGGTTCTACTTCCCGATGGGAAGCTTGCAAATCATGTTGATCCTTTATTTGAGTCTGAGGAGATAGAAATTTCCTTAGATTCTTCAATGGCCATCAATGAATTTTTATTTTCCCTAGACATTGATAACATAAACTTGGTCAAACTGTTGCAATACATGAAAGAAAGCAACTTAACTCACAAGGTGCATGCTCTGTCCTTATCATCTATTCAATATATAATTTCCAATTCTTTTGTGTGCACAAATTTAATATTCCATTGTTTTCTGCCTCTTAGGTCTGTGGTTATAGAGATAAGGTAGCAGTCGCCCAAAATGGTTCAAGTGTCGAAGATGTCAAAGCAACAACTTGCAAGGAAGAAAGTGCAGTATCTTGCTTTCGGGCATTGGCTGACATGCTAATCTCCTTAACCAATAACGATGGTGATGGAAGAATATTAATTTCAAGGCCAAGGCTAACATGTCGTGGGCAAGAAGGGCATATAAAGTATGTCATGCTTACTGGAGAGAAGATGTTCTCTGAGGTTTGCATATTTTTTTGCACCTTAATATTCTAATGCACTTTAATTTTAGTTTGCATAGTTAAAGTCATTCATCATTTTCTGTAGATTGCTGATCAAGCACAAGCTGTCGTCTTGGCTGGAGGAACTTTACAACCTATAGAGGAAACAAAGGAACGACTCTTCCCATCATTACTGCCAGATCGGTTGCACTTCTTTTCATGCAGTCATATAATTCCTCCAGAGAATATTTTGCCTATTGTTGTTAAACATGGGCCTTCTGATCAGTCCTTTGATTTCAGCTACAAACTCAGAAGCCAGCCAAACATGGTGAGAAAGCTGTGTACTTTCTTTCATCTTCTCACCATCAAATGTATTGCCACTCTCGTATGTTTCAAAAGTTTCCTAATTGATAAATGTTCAGGAATTCGACATTCTTCCCCTTACTTGTATTCAATGCTGTCCTTTATTATCATTCTGAACCACCTGTAACACAATAACTAAAGATTCAATTGAACTTCTGTCTCTCTAGAAAAGTTGTTCCAAAATTTCGTAGTTTTGCTAATTGCTGCTGCATGTTGGACTGAAATGACAGATTGAGGAGCTGGGACTTCTGCTCTGCAATATAGTGACAGTAGTTCCAGAAGGAGTAATTGTGTTTTTTTCATCATTTGACTATGAAGGCAAGGTTTACGATTCTTGGAAAATATCAGGCATGCTTACAAGGATTATGAAGAAAAAGAGAGTTTTTAGAGAACCTAGGAAAAACACAGAAGTAGAAGCTGTCTTGAGAGAATACAAGGAAACAATTGATGAAGTATCCACCAGTAATCCTACGTCCTGCAATGGTGCAATTCTTTTTGCAGTTGTGGGAGGGAAGATATCAGAGGGTATCAACTTCAGTGATGGGACAGGTCGATGTATAATAATGGTTGGATTGCCTTATCCTAGCCCATCAGACATTGAATTGATAGAGAGGGTGAAGTATATTGAGGGTCAAAATCCCAAGTCTTGTGTCTATGGTAAACATCGCAGTGGGGATGTTCAAACTGGATTTCACATCCTTAGAAGTTGCAAGGGCAGAGGAAAAGAGTACTATGAAAATCTTTGCATGAAAGCCGTAAATCAATCAATAGGTGCAGCTTCATTCTAGTTTTCTTTTTACATTAATACATCATAAATGCTTTCTTGCTAAGTCTATTTTCCTATTTTATGTCAAATTCTACTGTTCTAGGGAGAGCAATTCGGCATATAAATGATTATGCTGCAATTTTGTTGGTTGATATGCGTTATGCTTCTGATCCTGCAACGATTGGAAAGCTTCCACAGTGGATCAAAAGTCGTCTTGTTCCTACAACTGAGAATTATGGCCAAGTCCACAGGTTGCTGCATCAGTTCTTCAAATTCCACATATCAAAAGGAAGCAATCAGTAATAAACTTCTGATAAACATTGGTCAGATGTCAAATTTGAGTTGAGATGGCGGTTTTACATTGTAGATAGAGAGCTGGACTCAATATCGATTGTATTGTTTTAAGTTGTTAGTTAAAAGAAACATTTGCTTTACGTTCTTTCTTTTTATAAGCATACGAATTTTATTCAACTGAATTGGTGAGTACTGTTACGTATTGACACACTTGATCGACCCATTGGGGCTCATGGCCCACTTCTGTCAAACTACGTGGCATTTTATCCGAGGCCCCAAGCTAACATGAGTAGACCAGCATGCTATAACAACGCTCATGAGATGGCCCAAGTGCTAACGCCGAAGTGAATATGTCGAGGTGGTCTTCCATTCGAGGCCCATCACTCTAAGGCTCAATCTTCTCCGAGGTCTTTAGGCTCTAAGCAGCACTCCTCCTTAGAGATATAGTCTTACACAAGGATCATTCCTGATTGATTGATGGGACGCCCATCATAGAGTTCAAGTGTCTTGTCTTGTCGATGTAGCGGCAGAGCCGCCGATTAATAAATGTGTAGCAGGCTAGGAAATCAAGTGTGATACCTATAATTTGACATGTAGACTTACGAGATGCGGCTACGTGTACTCCCAACCGAGAGTCACGATCTAAATTGTAATACTATAAATACTCTTCCATGCATCTCTCACAGGGGTAATGCAAGATTCAATACAAGAATAAATACATCATTCTTTACATTTTACTCTCTTGCAACATACATGAATTCATACACACATTCTATAAATATCGATTAGTAATTATTGTACAATCGTTATACAAACTTCTAGTTGGGATCTGAACGTTCTCGTCTCGCGCCTTTGAGCTGCTCCCACACCCCTTTTTTGCTACTGGTTCTATACCGTCCATGTGTCTTAGCGTGTTAGACCAGGCTTACGTGTGTACAGGTAGGTTCGATATCTGTTAACAACATATTTTGGGGTCAACAAGTACAATACTACTAAATCTAGAGAACGAGATATCAACTAACATGTTTGGCTTTCCTATTAAACAAAACAGCTTAGGATGTTAATTTCTTATCAATTTTCAGGACTATTAAGATGCCAATGACGTAGTATGTTTGGATAATCTTAAACTTTAAAAGTTTAAATAAATTAATCAAAGTTTGAAAATAAGTAAGTTATTTTGATGTTAAAGTAAGAGTTTCTTTAATATATATATATATAACAATAATTCTCTTGCTTGGACCACGTACGGTACGAAAAATGCAGTCATGAGATGAGTTTCAATTTGTCTTGTTAGGACATAATGGTAATAAAAGATTATCGACAGTGAATTAATAAGTGAGTAGAATGAATTGGTAAAATAAAGTCGAGCATAAAAAGATGTAGATGAGAGTTTAACCTACATTTTTTCTTGATCGATAATTCATGTTTACCTTGCATTGGTACTTACGTACTTTCAATAATCATCTTTTAAGATATGATCGTCGTTTCTTGTAAAATGAAAATGTCAAAAATTTCTTGTACGAAACGGGACTCAATTAGAATTCAAGAAACTAAATGTTAACAAGGATTTGATTGCAAGAACATATGCAATTAAAGAATGAAATTTGTACAAGAAAGGGATCTATTTAGATTAAGTATGTCAATACTTCCTCTTGTTTTAAAACCATACAAGAACTCAACATTTGCTCCCATAAAATATTTAAATTTAACGCGACAAACGACATCTATGCTAACCCATGTATTCATAGTTATTAAAAATGATCTAAAAAGTGATGTATTTTCAATACAACAGTTAGATGAGCAATCACCAGCAAGGTTCCAACTTGTCTTCTGTTTGGAAAGTGACTGGAATTAATCAGTTTGGTCCCTTTTTCCTACCAACGTGGGTTGCCAAGATAATGGGCCCAAACACCTCCTTCCTATAAATGCTATCAAAATTTGTTAAGAAAATACTAATAATTATGTATCTTGGATTATCTTTAAACCTCTACAATCATTAGGTATGGTTCTTTGTTTCAGTAGAGATAAAAAAAAAAAAACTCAGGACTGCTTAGCATTCATTAACCTGCCAAGTATTGGATAAATTCTATTAATGCACCCAATGGCCAGACTAAGACATGTTAGGTGTATAGTATTTCACACATATAATACTGTTATTCCTTTATGAAAATGGGGCATTTACTTGAGTTGGAGCCTTCTCTTGTAGGAGGACTGAAAACTGAAGCCAAGTTGTCCCTGATAGGTACTCCATTGTCCTTTATCTCAAAGTTACATAAAAAAAAAATAATAATAATAAATAAAATACCATTATTCAGTTCTTTTTATCTTTGTTGGTGGTGTCTATGTAGAGGAAAGACAGATGAACAAGCATCACAGAGCAAAAGTAAAGCCACAAATGCAGATGCTGCTCAAAGAAACCTTTTACAACACCAAAAACTTCTTTTACATTACATTCCAAAATCTCAAATCATGTCTCTTAGGAGGGTATCAAAAGCTGCCTAAAACTCCTCTTGTCAAACCCATCTTTTCGACTAAGAATCCAGAACTCCATGAGCTGAATAATTTCTGTAAAGATTCCTCCGATAAAAGTGAGATACCGAAGAAAATGGAGGGTCGACTCTCACCAGAAGAAGAAATGAAGGGAGACAAAAAATTTAATGGAAGCTCCATGAATATTGTGGATAAAAGCGGATTAAAGGAGTTGAAAGAAAAGAAGACTGATAAATATTCCAAAGGCAAACAAGTAGAGTTCATTTCTAAGAATACAGATGCTTTAGCTAAAAAAATGAAAGAATTGGAGATGATGGATGTGAATGACATGGATCATGTGCTGGATATAGAAGAGGTGCTCAATTACTATTCTAGGCTCACCTGCCCAGCTTATAAAGACATAGTTGACAAGTTTTTCATGGATATGTATGCTGAATATTATCTTCCACCGCCCTCGGCTAGTGTTCGCAGTTCAATGAGGAAACTGGGCTCAGTCAGTGTTCATGGTTCAATGAGGAAACTGGGCTCTGTCAGTGTTCACTGTTCAATGAGGAGTCTTGGCCCTTTAAAGCTGTTGAAGTGAAGTAAATTTCATTCTTTGCACATATGAACCCATATATATCCCTTCATTCCACTGTCTGTGTGTGTGTGTGTGTGTGTTGTTCATAAATGAAAATTCTCTCTTCAAGTACTGCAATTTCTTTGGCCAATAATGGAAATATGTACCTTGAAATTAAATTCCATCATCATCCATTCTTGTTATCATCTGTAGATTTCTCTGTAATGATCACTTTTTTTGATATCTTGTGCCTACACAGACCGAATTCAATCCTAAATTTTCCCTTATAACTCTTGCATGAATTGAGATATATTGAGAAAGTTAACTTTTATGATGATTAGTGATAGGGATACTCATAACGATAGAAAAAAATCATAACCATTTATATGCCATTGATGAAAATTCATCAAATAAATCCTGTCCAAGCTAGTAAAGTTACAAAAAGCGATAGTAAAGCCAACTAAATGTGAAAAAGGTGAATTTTATGGGACAAAAAGAACATAATCCAAATTCAGATAGGCAGAACAAGATGAGCATTGCAGCCAGATCTTTCAGTTCACTTTTCGGCAATTACGTCGAACCTGGCCCATTGGTGCTGTCAGGACCTGGAGATTGGACAGTTTGTTCATTGTAAGTCCAAAGTCCCTTTGGAACAGGGAAATATCTGATGCATATGCTCGGACCCAATTCTTGGTTTCTTCCCCTGCTGTCAGCTGCTGATCAACAAAAAGTAATCCCTTGCCTTGAAGAAGACTGGAGTAGTATACCGTACCAAAACCTGTTCCCGGTCCCTCATAATCCATCTTCATTGCGGGATCGTTAAACGAGGCAGTTGATAAGCGCTTGACGGAGTGTGAAGGTGATAATGATGGTGATATAGACAGTGATGATGATGAGCTATGGCTTCTATTGCATTTTGATCTCAAAAAGTTGAGAAATTCAGTATCTATAGAGGGGTCAGGCCCTTGAGTTCCACTGAAGTTATAAAGACGGTTGAAAAAGAATTTGCAGTGAATCGTGCCGGTGCTGTGGGCACCTGTGACCTCAAACATAAAAAGGAAGGCAAAAAGGAACTCAGCTCTCATCGGATTTGATGTTGTTTGACAAAGAAGAATGCAAATAAAGTAAGAGTATATAGAAATTGTAAGTATCGAAAAGGAAGTTCATAATCTGATCCGTTTTCATCTAACAGGAAATGCATTATTTAAGAAACGAAAAGAAGATAATCTGATTTCTTTTCATTTAGTTAGGGATTTTTACTCTACAGAGATCTTTAATCAAAACGGGAGAAATTTTATCACTCGGTACTGAACAACTAAGTTCAGGTATCTCAGTAATCACTTTTCGTTGATTTTCAATTAAATAAAATGACGTTAGACAGGTCATAGAAATTTGATACATGCAAGCACATCAGATTAGCTGATTAGAGTTCATAAATTGTTCCATTTGCACAGTTAAAACAAGAAAACAAAAGATTAATAGATAGGAAAAAATGTATACCTAATAGACTGACAGTCTCTCTTTGATCAAATCCTCTTGATGCAAATGCCTCGATTGTTTTAGAGAGATTGTCTTGGGGAGTAGGAAGCTCATATGTTGCTACTTCTTGAAAAGAAACTGTACTGTCTCTCCTACCGGTATACAGAGGATAGAACGGGCCACCAGCCTGAAATTTAAAAGATTTTTAGTGCATAAACTACGCCATGCCAAACGTGTAATAAAAGAATGCACATTAGCACAAGAAGATTTACCAAAAGGACACTTTCTCTTGCCGCCAAAACGACAATATCAGCACAAGAAACAATTCTGGGGCATGCTTTTTCAACATTCAACTTAATGATGTCAATCAGATCAAACCCCTTTAAAGATTCATTCGGTGGAGAATCTTTCTCACTCCTTATTCCATCGGCAGCATCCAGTAGAACTGAAGCATCACACCCCTATTCCAATAGTGATCATATAGAAAGTTGTAATCACAAACCAGTATAAACTCAAAATAAATTCACAGAAACATAATCAAATTTCCTTAGAATTTACAATTCTCAAGTCAAAATGAACAATATAGACTTAGAAATCCTTCTGCAATATATTATGAGGCAACATTAGCCTAATCCCCAAAATGAACGTAGGGTAATAAAGTAGATAGAATCTACAAAACAGATAATTAAAACAATTTCATCAAATAACTCAAAGCAACACTCTACGAACAGTCTAAGAAAATTGGATCAAATTTAGAACAATTAAATCATTTCAACCGTAAATTCATGGTGAAAAATAGAAACCAACAGGATTCACTGATAAGTGAGTAGCTTAAAAAAACTCACCTCGACAAAGCAATCATGGAAAAGCAGCCTCAACAATGCAGGGGCAACATTTTGCCGCAGATTGAAGAGTTCATGAACAGTTGCTCTAACGATTTTCTCGGCTAATGGGCAAGATTCATTGTAGTAATCATATCTGAGAGATCCTTGACGAGAATTATAAGAATGAGTTTCTGGGAGCTTCTTTTCCACCTTATTTCTTGATTGAGCCCTTAAAAATGAATGTGAACTGTCAGTAATTCGTGATGAACCCTTGTTGGTTTCTGCATGTTGGTTCTTCAAAGAGAAGAGAACACATAGTAGAAATACAAGAAAGCTTAGTTTTCCCGTGAAATCCATAGCAAATTATTACAAGGTTTGCATCACGAACTCGTCTCTCTCTCTCTCTCTCTTCTCAAGATTGAGTTGCCGAGCTTAATGGGAGCTACTGTGAAGTACCAGATCAAGTAAGACAGCGCGGGAAAAAGAAAGATGAAATGACAAAAGCGCCCTTGTAACTAGAAGTTTGTTACAGAATCGATCCAACGGTATAAGTTGATCGGTATGAATGACAGGAGGAAGTGGAAACTATAGCGGCTTTTTTGTGGAGAATATTTTACTTCAATAATTTTGAATTGTGTTTAAGAAAATATAATTAGTAATTTTATAACGGTAATGCCGAGAATACATTAAAAAATTTTAAAAGTAGGATCAAACGAATTACTTCCATGTTATTTTTTCATTGACGAAAAAAAAAACATTAATCAAGCAATTTCTTTATGATTAAGAATTGTGACAATAAGGAATGAATTTCGTATGCTTTTTGGCCTATAACACAAAGGTCTTTCAAATACTCATCTTTCACATTGTAAACAAGTCGACGTTTTCCTTCTGAGACATGCTTGTTGTACAATTCCTCACACATGAGGGGACCCACTATTAATAAAAAATTGGTGGGCCCCCTCACGCATGAGGGGGTTAACCCTTTCCTTCTCGGAAACACTTCAATTTTGCCTCTATTTGGTCAGCCGAAGTTTATGTAAACTTTTAATTGAAAGTAGGGAATAATCGCGTCTTTATGTTTTGGTTCGATTTGGTGAATCTCAAACTAATTCAATCATGTCATGTGAAGGTAAGCATGCCATTAATGGGATCACAAATACTCTCCTCATATGAACCATGCAAGGGCCAAAAAGGCCATGAGAACATCAGTGGATCACAGACAAACAGCATGGAATCATTCAAATTGAAACAAAGGTCTTTCTCACAACATTCGATAATATTAGGAATTACATGGCTGCAAAGCTTTAAAATGGCATCAGCTGCTGCATGATTTTCTGTAATTTGTTAAAAAGAAAAATAATGATGATGAAATTGAGATGGGGGCCTTAGTCGGATGACTCGAGCGACTGCTGACACCCTATATTTCAACTTGAGGCCTGAATATAGTAACTCACAAATTTGCATCAATCCAACAAACAATTTCCTGATTATGACATCAATATTCCCAAGCAATATGCATCACACTGAACTCTCTGCATTTTCTTATGACACTTAATTACCAGAAGATACTAGAACGTTTTGCTCCTTTAGTCGTCTTTGGAAATGAGCCAAGCGATTCTGTAACTGTAAGATACCGGCAGCCTTTTGGGATAGGATTGTATTCAATCTGGTGACATAATCATCTAGCTGATTACCTGGTTGATCGGCCTCGACCAATAGATTCATCTCCTGCAAAAGGCCAACGAAAATTTTGATTGAGGAGCGTAGACTTAAAATATAACTTGTGTCTATATAGAGAATTTAGACACATATCTAGTTCACCAATCAACGTAGCAAAATCTAGAACCGAAATTGGCCTTTTAATCGATAAACAGAAAATGAGATAGCTACAATTCAGATAAACTCTGTTGTGAACGCTGGTAGTTTGCATCAGAATAATATGATCCATCTAAATCAATACCGCATATACTTGAGAACCCATATAAAAAGCCTCAACATACTATACAGAATGATCAAATAGTATTATAATGCACCAATGCTAATAACCTAAGACGGTGTCTACATTCAAGAACCGTCTGTGTGTGGACAGTAATATCTTGGTCTCAATCTGACTAACATTGTTATATTGCACCACCAGCTAAATAAAAACTGAAAAACAGAAAAATGTGCTGGAGCATCTATAAGATTATCACAGACCTCTCGAACAATATCCATTGTCTCCTCCACTTGTCTCCTATGAGCATTGACTAGATCTTCCTCTTCCTACGAAATCAAAGAGACACGGAAATCAGCACCTGCATTGGAATCAATTTGTTGTTAAAAAGCAATTTTTAATGGTCTTACCTTTAATAGAGAGTTCAAATCATCGTCATAGTTTGAGTATTTCATATCAGATTTAAGAGGTTCCTTCCACTTCGACTGGCCGTTCGCTCTCCTCATTTTATCGTCCATGTTAGAAAAACGGTATGATTCAACTTTTGAGTTTTGCTTCCACACAGGCTTGTCTTGATCGTAAAACTCTTCGTCATATTCTTCCCTGTCAGTTTGTTCAGGCCATGAATCAACAGTGTCATCTTCAAATGTTGATGCAGATGGTAAAATTGATGACAGGGGTTGTGTTGTTGATTCCTTCAGATTTGAGGTTGATGAGAAAACGTCTTTTTTGTTGTTGTTCCCTTTTGAAAGGCTCTTCACCCTATAATTTCCAAAAAATAAGATAAGACCTTATAAAGAAGGAACTATTTGACCGGCAGAAAATTTATATCATCAAAAGATCCGACTTACCTGTCCGCATATCTTAATGTGTTTAATGTATGTTCACAGGATCCCGCATTGGGTGAAACACATGAAATCATCACAGTACGAGAATTTCCAACAAATGAATCCCTTAAGACTTCAGTTAATTTACTGCCTCTAAATGGAATATGCCCTTGATCATTATCAAGGGCTCTAATGCACTCCTTCAAGGCAAGCAAGCTTTTGTTAATCTCAGCTCCTTCCATTCTGCATATTCAGAAAAAGCTAATTGAGAACTCATTAAAAGAAGGCAAATTGTTGGTATCATATATCAATAACATCAGAGAGACCAATGGACACTACAATTATAGCTTCTTCTTTCAAATAACAGATAAGTGTTGGGTAATAACAATGTCTTGCTATATAAAGTGCCAATGTTATGCATCCTCAAAAACAACGTTTTTTTTAACACCAGATTGAATGTTTTTTTTTTTCAGAGAAAACAAAGGAAGTAGAAGATGATTAAGTAGTATATACCTAGTTTGTTTATCATTATCAGTAGTATCAGCACCGCGTTCACTACCAGCAAGGTCTATGAAGGAGAGCTTGCCAACAACTCGAGCAGGTTTGGATTCACTGCCATCAGTTGACCTCTTAATGGTAAGCTGAAGAATGGCATGTGAACGGGATGATTCCTCATTTGCACCAGTGGTGCCTGTACTTCTTGTTGCATTTCCTTTCTCAATAAGGTCCTTAATTGTCTCCACATCTGATACTTTGTACTCTTGCAAGCCTACAATACAAACTTGTTGTTTGCCATCCTCTCTCATGCAAAGCTTTCTACATAAAGAAATATTAAGTGTTGTGAGAATCCATATGGTGACTAGAAATAGATCAATGATTTAAGTAAGAATCAATCGGGACATCTTACTTTCTATCGCCGAGTAAATCATATAATTTTCCTCCATATATCTCAAAGAAGCTTACAAACAATTGAAACCCTTGATTCCTGTAAGTGTGATGCATGAGCCTCAAGATATCCCTAGATGCCTTTAGGGGTAGTGGTTTCATCGTAAAAGTTTTGCCACTTCCTGAATAAATTTCAGAGAGAAAAAAAATGAAAAGTAAAAAGTTAGAAAAAGCTTATAGATTAGTAAAAATAAATTAGTAAATAATGAGAGGAATGATTGTACAAGAACATAAAAGTATAATATTCATGTGAAGAAGAAAAGCTGACACGACGATAAGAGCAATTTGTATATTTGTCAAATTAAAATTTTAAATCCTTGCCATCCCAATCCTATCAAGATAAAATGGGGCTACATCTTAAAGGGAAATAGGATGACGTTGAGAAAAAACAACATTTAAATAGTGGGTGTCTTTCAAATATGACTGTAATCACTCCTCAGCCTATCATAAGCAACAATGTTGGCTTTTATTACTGCAAGGACCAAAATTTAGCCCCTTCTCATGTTCTATTTGATGATACAAAACGGCAGATAAAGACCAACCATGAATTTTATTCATTTTATTGATTTAGCAAAGCCTCACGTGATAAGAGAGGTCCACGAAAGCAGCTGCAGAAATATCCAAGGATTTGGAGGATAATCAAAGTTGGTTAATAGTATCACCTAAAACATGCCTTCAAAGAAAGGGTTATTGACTGATGCTTTAACAGGCTGGTGCATATCTCCACACCACCAATAAAAAGTACTACTATTAGTACTTAATTTGTTAAACTAGATAAGCAAAAAATTTCATCCAGCTCCATCACTTCTAGATTTTCTGCACATAATGTCAATACCAAATACAAGTCCGTCTTACACGTCTAGGTCAATTATTCTAATCTATGACATCTTTGCCTTTGTTTGGGATTTGTCTTGCTTCTCTTGCAAGTCCATGGGTAGATGCAAAACCAAAAAGATCTCAATGTAAACTTTACTTTGGCATGAATGAGGTATTCAAGCATGTTCTTCTCCACATTCTTAAGAGACTCGCCTTGAGGAAACTTGAAAGTAATTCCGTGAAAATTGAAGAAAAGTTAAATTAGAGAACTCAAGTACGACCTGCAAGTATGCAACAGGTCCACCATGGTATATGGAGACCGAAACCAAAACTTGAAGTACAGAAATAAAAGTTAAACAAACAATGGCAAGCTTTCAATGCCAAATCCATCTGACAGTTACCTGTTTGCCCATAGGCGAAGCAAGTTGCTTTGGTGCGTTGGAAAATTATTGGAACAATGGGCTCCACAGTTTCACAATAGACCTATAGATATAGTATGCGGATCACAAATAAGAAAGTCTCCAATACACCACAAGTATTACATGGTTTCCACTCAAGTTCATGCTTATTACCTCATCATTTGATACTTCCTCATTCAGCACAGCATCAAAGACAAATTCATGCTTCTCCACATATTCTGTCAAGTCAACCTGCAGGAAATTAAGAATCAAAAAAACATGGAGCCTCATTCTATAAAAAGTTCTTTAAGAATCAAAAAAACATTGAGCCCCATTCTTTAAAAACTTCTTTTTCCCCAAACTCATTTTCAATCCCACATTCTCCCAATAAAATAATTTTACACATAAGCCCGAAACTTTTAACCACAAATTCTCCCAAAAAAAACACCATTACAAAATCTATTCTCCCAAAAAATGGGGCTCAAACAAATCCTTTATATTTCACAAAGAAATTCCAACAACAATCAGTTCCAAACAACTATTACCCGTTCATTTAATTCGCATGAGACTGTTATCATGAGAGAATAAATTAGTCGATGTAATCCATTATCTACTACTTTCGCTGCAGAACAGCTAAAGGCAAATGGTCTTAATATAATCCATGTCTCTAACTAATAACTTGAAGCAACCTTATTCTCTTATTGTAAAAGAAATCAATCAAAATTAATGCGTGTGCAAACATGCAGCATTAAGAAAGGTGACCATATGAGTTATGAAAATATTGTCAAAATCACTCACAAAGAAAAGCAAATAACCAGGAGGAAAAGATGTCCTGAAAGTAAACAAGTTATAATTGGCAATAGAATCAATCTTTGTATATATTAAAATTTAAAATCATAAATCCAGTGTTCTAAATTATAAGGACCAGTACATGACATCTCATTGACAATATGTAAGGCATCAAACAACTTCAGAAAATTATAACAAGAGGACATCAAAAAAGACCTATCATACCAATCCTTATATATAAAAAATTTAAATAAGCACGAACAGATACTGTCACGGACCTTAAATTTTGTCTCATGGACGACGAGAGAATTAGATTGTGTTTCAATGATATCTTCCTCATTCTTTGACAATTCTTTTTTGTTTAATGGTCTTTTGCGTACCTGCAACCAATCAACAGTTATCAACAGCAAGGTGAAAAGCATCATTACAGTCTCTGACTTAATAATCCAGAGTATGAAAGAAATTGTAGTGAAAGAATTTGCCTCTTGGTGCAAAGATTGCATTTCATGAAATTTACATAGGTAATACAATTAAAAGACTAATATTTTATAAACATTTAGAATCAGAAAAGTAGGAAATGTAGCTATAGGTAGCTACAGACTAATCAAGCAAAAAAAGTATGAGAACAATTTTATTAGAGCACTAAAAAGTGAAAAACATACATACCACCACTTTGATCTTTGCAACATTGCTGGCCTTCACATTGTCAGCTGCAATGCTTTTCATAACATTGTTCTCTGGCAAACCACGAGCTTTGCCTGTTTGTTTATTGTTTCCAAGGTATGGGTCGGAGTCATCAAAGCTTCTCCCCCGTGTAAAATGCATTGAGGTGCCACTATACAGACTAGGAGCTGGCATCTAGTTTCCAAATACAACAAAGAGAAAAAAAAAATGGGGAAGAGTGGCAAAATGTTTCAAATCCAAATTAATGCCATGAGACTTATAATAAGATTTAATATATAATGTGCTATCAATTTTCTAAGCATAATCTCATATTTAGAGACAACTAGCTTAGGGCTTATTTTTAGTTACCGTGTATCCAATTTTCTAAACTCGATAACATTGGAGAATGCTATGAGTGAAATAAAATCTTATGACATGTTAGGAAAAAGATCATCGGCATCATCCATATACAAAATATTAGTTAGGCTGGAGTAATTAAAACCTAAAGTCAACAAAAAGTAAAATGAAATTCACACACAATTAAACTTCATTCATTTCACAACAAGATATCAACTATAAGGGCAATTACGACCCAATGGAAAACCAATTCAGCAGCACACCAGGATACAAAATCCACTAAGAAACCTTACAGTGAAACCGTTCTAAACCATTTAATTCAGAGGACAACAAAAATCAAACTTTTACTAATTCATTCCCTCGATTTATTGTCAAAATCCAATCAAAAATCTACCTCAGTAAGTAGTTCGGTGTCCAGAGAATGCAGATCCAAGAGCCCTGGACTATACTCATTTGGCGAAACCTGCTCCTCCCCGTTCCTTCTCTGACTTCCCGGCCGTGAATTTAGTGGTGGCGTCAATGGTTCAGCAAACAAATCGCTTCTTCCACTGTAAGTCCTCTGCGCCTGCACGCTCCTAGACATTCTCGAGTCCTGACCCCCTCCATTATGGTGTCCAAAATCCTAATTTTAAAAAATTAAAAAATAAAAAATCGAAAATTTTTCCATCTCAGCGTCAGATATTCAGATCTAGCATACATGCAGTCAACAAGAAACGCAGAATAATAGAACTGCACCTGAAGTGGAGGAACTGCATTGTTAGATGACTGCAGATGCTGAAGACCAGCTGATTGGAGCCATCGGTCGTTTGATGATGATTCTAGAAAATTATCGGAGTACTGCCGCTGGTGGTGCACAGTCGATGATGCCCCAGATCTCTGCCTTCCAACAGCATTCATTTTCTCTCTCTAAAATTCACGATCACAGTCCAATCCTTGCGTTTTCTATATCTAAAATGAAAAGATTGAGATGGATGAATGAGAGATGCAGAGAGAGAAAGAGACAATGAGGGTTTGCAGAGGCAGATGAAAATGTAAAGACTTTGTCGGAGAGAAGCTATGAAGTTCAACGGCTGCGATTCATTTCTGTACAGTAAAAGTTTTAAAAAATTGAAGAATTTTATGGAGAAACCGAGAAATGGAGAAAAATTGAAAGGTAAAAAATTACAGGAATTACCATGGATTAATTAACAACCTAATGGGCCTGTTAAAAATTTGAATCTCTAATTTGAAAGTGGTTGAGAGCGGCATGAGTTATACGTGTGACAAATTCTATTGGTAGAGAGTTGACAAGGGTAGGTGGGGCCCGCTCGTTTTTGAATTGAGGGTGCTATCTGTCAAATCCTTTGCCGTTTCACATGGTGGGGCTGTGTCGTTTTTGTACCACTATTCTCCTTTACTTAACGACTAACTTGACATGTGTCGCGGTTCGACTAAAATATTAATGTTATTAACTTTTTGTAAAAATTTCAGAGCAATGTTCTTTCCTTATGTTTCAATATCTTCCTTCTCGCGTATTCCCTCCTTAAGTAAAACAATTTAAGAAAGAAATTCGTGAAAGACAAGATAAGCACAAATTTTCTTGAAGTGAATATTAAGAATGGGTATGGTAAGGATAAGACCCTACGAAGAGGGAAACTTAATCTTTACCCGATCCCACATGCGTCTCCCCTTCTTTTACCTAATGCCTCCTCCCATTTCTATTTGTTCAAGAGTTTGATGGATGCTTAAATTTCAATGTCGAGCTTATCTAAGCCCCGTTTGATAGGGATTTTTTTATCGTTATTTTACTATTCAAGTCGTAATTTTTGACTTCTTCTCTTACATGTGGACCCCACTTTTCTTCTAACGGTCAAAAAATCAATTCTCAAAATCCCTACCAAATGGGACCCTAGTATCTACTCAAGAGTATCATGAACTTAGGATAGAGAGATTAAAAAAACAAAAACAAAAAATGAATGAAAATATGAGACGAGAGATAAAAGGGGAAAACACACAAATAAAGAAAGAGGAAAGGGCTAAATAGATACAAGTGACGGTAGATGCGAAAAGATAAATTGGTGAAATCATTTTAAGAAATATTAAGTTGGATATTTTACTTGTAAAATTTGCCTCTTGAACCAAATAATTAAAACGTTGACATTTTCCACTTAAAATCAATGCAATAAAAACTTCGAAAAGTATATGTTGTTGATTAATAATGTACATCTCACATATATGCGTATGTGATACGTTGAAATACATATTTTTCTATGAAAAAGATGGGAAAAAGCAAAATCCAAATTGCATAGTTTGTAATACTATTACAATTAAAAAACGTGGAGATACCACATCATTAAGAATCTAAGGATATCGCATGAATTGTCAAATGATAGCTTGTCCTTGAATACTATCTTATTGAACAAAGTTCTGGATAATGCTATCGTTTTCATGTCACAAAGTTCAATAGCAACTCTCCCAAAGACTTATTTCCTTAGTGGCTCAAGGCCTCCGAGAGGAAGCCTTCTCAGTTTTTAACCTAAACTATCACAAAAGGTTCAAATTCAACATTAGGAATCAATGAGCCTTTGTAGTCTTTTTGTTCATGTTTGGGTAGTTTACATCTTTATAGATGTATTTTGTCGAGCTTCTCTCCAAGACGGTATCAACAAGTTGAGCACCAAATAAATTTTCCGATAGTTTTTTTTATTATTGCTTAATTTAAATGAGTGAAGTAATCAAACCTAAAATGAGTTGAGAGATCTTATAGATCTCTTAGTCTTTTATTCAAAACTTGTGCTTCAGTTTTTGATGCAGCTAAGGAAAAATTATTCTTTAGTTTGTATCCAAATATATATTTGAGGAAAATGAGTTTTAGAATATTAGTTTTTTGAATAATGTGTGATTAAAAAGTAAGAAAATTATTTTATTTACGTGCATGATATTTTATTGTATGAATATGTAGTTAAAAAAATGAGTTGAGAAATTTTTTTTAATTTAATGGAAGACGAACAGGAGCATAATATCATGGGTTGTGATAAATGCTAGTATTTTTTACTTGGTATTATCCTAATTAATATAGGATTGAATTCGTGTTTACTTCCCACGTATAATAGGATGTGTTGTTATGTATACCATAGGGCTGAAATTGTTAACCATAAATGGGAGTCTCCGTATTATTTTTTGAATAATGCTACCTAGCACGAGTGGTGCTAGAGTATCAAGTTAGATGGTTACACTTCATAGGTTTATTTAATGAGTCATGTGACTTTGGAATTAAATGAATATATCATTTAATGTCATATAATTGTCATCTAAATCGGTGCTTAACATCAGTGATGATGAATATCATTACTCTTATTTTTCATTGATCCAAAGTTTGAGATAGTCATGGATTATCTTGGACAAGACTTGTAGATCATTTGTAGTCTTGGTTATACCTGGAGCTTGGTGTGTGTGAAAGATTATCTATTGATCGTACGAAATTTTCATTTAAATCATTGTGTTATTTTTTCTATCCACTTATATATTACGGCTTCTAGCAAGATCGTGTGGTCAAATCAATGAATTGGTCTCAATTTCCAATAATGGTATGTTAACAAATTGATCGACTATAGAAACTAAACTTCTTAAGTTTGGATAATTGATAATGGAACAAAAAAGGAAGGCTAAATCGTATTCTAAATATAGTAATTTACGAAAACAACTTTTTTTTAATAACCCAGGTCGCGACCCCAATTGATCTTTTACATACTATGCACTCTGGGAGGATATTTGTCATCTTACTCCTTACAGTTTTCTGTCACATTCCCAAAATTCGAACTGAAGATCGATACCTTATGAGAGACTTAAGTTGAATTTTAGTGTCAATTATGTAAATTCAACTTAAGTAACAAAATAGATGTCTCGAGTTCGAATCCTATGGAATTGATAAAAATTCATGGAGGGTCAGGTGGGTTCAAGCTCTTCTATAGTGGACAGTATATAAGTTAACGGTTTAGACATGAGGTTCGAATTATTACACCTTTCATTTTCAAAATTTTCAGGAATGAGAAACCTCCACGAAGGTTTACTTTCTTTAAAATAAATAAATAAATAAATAAAATCCTATATTAGCAAATTATATACATATTTCCCATTTTAATATTTTATCCCTTCACACTATTTCAAAATTGTTAGTATTTAATTTTATTGCAACTATAAATGCCTTTCTTGTAAATACAATCGACAGATAATTAACAAATCAACATAAATACAAGTTTTAAAGTAATATAACAAAACAATTTAGAAAAAAAAAAACTCATTAAATATTTTATATTACTTGATTTAGTTTATTCGGTTTAAAAGGGAAATCAATATTCACAAAAATCCGAACGAGATGACATCACTATGCAATGAAAAAATAAAAATAAAAAGTATGATATTTAAATTGTAGTATTACATTTTTCTTTAAGATTAAGAAAAAGACAAATGACAAACAAATTAGCCCTTGTTTGGTCCCAATTTTTCAAATTAAAATGGGTGAAATAGTATTTTTTTTTTTTTTTTTTTTTTTTTGGGAATGGGGAAAAAAAAAAAAAAAAATTTTT